TTACCATGCTGTATCTCCAAAACTGAATTATTAACATCAGATGGATTCAGGATTCTGTTGATACAGCCCACTTTGCAGGATTAGGATATAAAGCAAATGTTCTGTGAGAGCACTTTACTTTTAATTGAAGGTGGCATGGCTATAATGACAATTAAAGAGACAAACCAGCCCATCTGTCCACACCCCAAACATTCCAGGGAAAATGCCCACCCATCCTTGACCAGCAGTGACAATGGAAACAGGCAAAAGCAGAGCAGGCTGGCAGTGAAGCTTAAAATTACAACAATGCATAATAATAATCATCACTATCATCCTGGAAAACACAATCTTTACTCACTGCACTCATCTAAGTGGCACCAGATAAACCAAGATGAAAATGGCAGTAAGTGTGGATTAAAAGTCCTCAGAACCTTTTTAGAGCATTCCTAACTGGTGAAGTGCCAGATGGTGTTTGTGGAAAGGTGACTTACTTTCTGCTGACACCGGACCATGTCCATGAGCTGCTGAGCACCTGGAGACAACTTAGATCCCATGGATTCCATTATAGTTTGCACTCTGTCTAGATCTATGCTTGAGCCTAGTGAAGGAAAATCAGTTGCTAGTTTTGCAGACACTGCTTTCACGTCTAGAATTATTTTACTGATGAGTACTCTGTGTTTCTCACCAAAGGAGAGCAGCTATTGCAAGAAGGAAAAAAAATACTTTGGTTAGAGAAAAAACCACTTCATGTTTTCTTTGTATTTAGGGGACAATGCATAGTTCTTTGAGACTTAGCAAAAACTATGATGAACTCTTTTCCAGTTAAATTAAGCCAATTTCTCCTTGCCATTATGCCCCATAAAATTCTGACTGGAATAGAGGTGCCTGAGGACCCCAAAGATACATACAGCTTTTCTAAGCATTTAAGAGTAGTGACCACATGATTTTCACAAGCTTATTTAACCCTAGAGTTGACAGTTCTAATCACAAATCTGGAATTTATCTGGTTTATGTTTTTCTTCTCTAAGATTAAATTATATGTATAATATAAAGCCTTCATGAAAAGAAAACTGAGATACCAATTTAAAAGGAGCACTCTGCCATCAAGACAAAGCACCAGTCAACAGATTTTTAAGTGATTATGTGAAGAGATGAAGTGTATAAAACCAATCATTTTACTAAGAGCAATGCAATTTAGTAGATTAAGTGATTAAAAAGATATAAAAAAAATAAAACAATTCTGTTCAACTCCTTACCTTAATTCTACAGGAGGCTGCAGGGCATTCAAACTTAAAGTATTTGTGGTACAAAGTAACCTGTTCAGTTTCACTAGAAAAATAGAATAAACAAGCAGCACATCAATTTACAAAGTACTTTTTTTGTAGAACTACACTATATTGGTAAATATTTAGACAAGAAACAAGACTGACTGGAACACATTTCTAATGCAGATTTATGGTTTCCAACAGCACTTTTAGTTTCTCATTTTTAGCAGTTTTTTACTTTCTAATAGCAGCCTTAATGCTTATATGCAACTTGTAATGAATCTTATCACTTATGTAAAAATTACTTGTATGTGTGCTTGCACTGAGAAGTGTTTGAGGTTCAGTACATTATTCACCCATCTTCCCTGAGGCTCTGAGTCGACTGGTTTCTAGTTAGCTAATTAAGCAGCAGATGTGCCATGTAATGGCTCAAAAACAAAACAGAAGCATTGCTTTATTTCCCCCGGCACAGCATGGAAGGAAGTATTGAAGGGGAAAACAAAACCTTCTTTTTTAAATCTTCTCTCTTGGTTCTTTGAAGTGTGAGATGACTACTTATCAAAGAGACTTTCATAAAACCCAAGAATGGGCTGGGTTGGATGGAACCTTCAAAGTTACCCAGTGCCACCCCTGACATAGGCAGGGATGGCTTCTACTATCGCAGGGTGGTCCAAGCCCTGTCCAACCCGGCCTTGGGCATTGCCAGGGATCCAGGGGCAGCCACAGCTGCTCTGGGCACCCTGCTGGGAGGAATTTCTTCCTAATATCTCACCTAACCCTGCCCTCTGCCATTGTGAAGCCATTCCACCCATCCTATCTCTCCAAGCCCTTGTCCAAAGTCCCTCTCCAGCTCTCCCGCAGCCTTTCTAGGCAGTGGAAATGACTCTAGGGTCTTCTCCAGGCTGAACAGCCTCGGTTCTCTCAGCCGCGTTACAGACATCATGTCCCGAGCAGCAGGAGCGCCTCACAGGCACACACAGGCTGCCGCAGCCCTGCCCGTGCCCGGCACTCACCCCGGGGCCGACCGGGCGCCGCGGCTCTGTCCCCGGCCGGTGCCGCAGTACTCCTCGCCCACGTACACCTCCATGTTCCGGGCCTGGCTCACGATCCCCACGGACACCATCTCGGCGCCGGGCCGGCACTGCAGCCGCAGCTCGCAGGGCTCCTCGCCGCGCTCCCTCCGCTCCGCCAGCACGGCCTCGCTGCTGCGGGGGGGAAGCCACACGCGTTGTGCCGCCAGCCCCGCCACCGCCCGGCCCGGCGCTCCCTCTCGCCGCCCGCCGCACTCACCCGGGCTCGCCGTCCCCCGCACCCCGCCGCAGGCACAGCGCCCGGGCCAGGCCGCCCGGCGGCGCGCAGGGCCAGGAGCACAGCGCTGACACACAGCGCGGCTCCCGGCCTGCCTCCTCCTCCTCCGCCGCCTCCTCCGCCGCCGCGCAGCCGCTGGACATGGCGGAGCCGCGGGCAGCGCCCGCCCGGGGCAGCGGCACCCACCGACCCGCCGCGGCCGGCAGCGCCTGCGCAGCGCCGGAGCTCCGCGCGTGCGCGCCGGGCGGCGGCGGGGCCGCCTGAGGGAGCGCCCGGGGGGGAGCGGGGAATGGGGAGCGGGGAATGGGGAGCGGCACCTTCAGCCTGAGAACGGCACTCTGAGCCCGGGGAATGGCTCCTCGGCTGGGGAATGGCTCTCTCAACCCAGGGAATGGCACCTTCAGCCCGAGGGATGGCACCCTCAGCCCGGGGAGCGACATCCAGCTGGGGAATGGCACCCTCAGCCAGGGAATGGCACCCTCAGCCCGGGGAGCGGCATTCTCAGCTGGGGAATGGCCCCTTCAGCCTGGGGAATGGCACCCTCAGCCGGGGAATGGCACCCCTCAGTCGGGGAATGGCACCCTCAGCTGGGGAATGGCACCCTCAGCCCGGGGGAATGGCACCCTCAGCTGGGGAATGGCACCCTCAGCCGGGGAATGGCACCCTCAGCCCGGGGGAATGGCACCCTCAGCCCGGGGAATAGCACCCTCAGCCCAGGGGAATGGCACCCTCAGCCCAGGGAATGGCACCCTCAGGTGGGGAATGGCACCGTCAGCCCGGAGAATGACATCCTCAGCTGGGGAATGGTATCCTCAGCCCGAGGAATGGCACCCTCAGCCCCGGGGAATGGCACCCTCAGCCCGGGGAATGGCACCCTCAGCCCGGGGAAATGGCTCTCTCAACCCAGGGAATGGCACCTTCAGCCCGGGGAAATGGCACCCTCAGCCCGGGGGAATGGCACCCTCAGCCCGGGGAATGGCACCCTCAGCCCGGGGAATGGCTCCTCAGCCGGGGAATGGCACCCTCAGCTGGGGAATGGCACCCTCAGCCGGGTTAATTCGCGTGGAAAGCACCGCTGAGATAACCGAGTCCAATGTATGACCCAGCATCACCGTGCCAACCATACCTTGGCTACGTCCAGGCTTTCCTTAAACACCTCTGACTCCCGCACCTCCCTGGGCAGCCCATTCCAATGTCAAATCACTCCTGAGAAGAAATTCCTAGTAATGTCCACCCTAAACCTCCTGCGGTGCAGCTTAAGGCAGTATGCTCTTGTCCTGTCACTGGTTGCTTGGGAGAAGAGACTGACCCTGAATTTGTGCCAGGAGAGGTCTCGGGTGGATATTAGGAAAAAGTTCTCCCACAGTGTTATCCATCGCTGAACAGGTTCCCCTGTTGGACTCAATACCTCAAAGGTCTTTTCCAACTGAAATGATTCTTGGATTCTGTGAAACTTGCTAATATGTCAAAATTTGGAGCAGCGGGATTCTCCCAAGTTGTGTCCTGATAGTGCACCACACAGGAGAGAGGCTATGAATAAAAGAGGCCATAAATAAAAGATGAGTTCATTTAATTTTTAGTAGGATCTCACCTTCTGGAGTTGGAGAATGCTGCTCCTGAGGCTGTGGCAGACACAGACGTGGGGAATGGGGGTGTCAAGTTCTGCTTCCACCAGTGCTCAGTGAAGGAATGTTCAGGCTGTTCTCAGTCTGTGACTCTCAGCAAATTGATCTGAATGGGCTTTGACCAACTAATGCTGCAAATACAGCCAAGCATTCTGCTTTTTGTCACTTAAGGCATTGTTTAATAGGATTTATTAGCGATGGAAAACTGAATTTTCTCTGCTTTAATCAAAGAATACATTAAAATTAATTAATGTAAATGTTTGAGTGTGTTGTCTCAGCCTCATTTTTGTGTTTCTAAATGCGTGTGATACTTCTGAAATGCTTTGCAAACTCATCCAGTTTTAGAAGCATTTCTTTTCTGCTCTTGGTGACAATGTGGTTACATAGAAGATGACTCTGATCCTGGAAGAGCAAAGATCTGCACAAAATTATGGACTTCTGGTGAGGAGAATTGTGTTTAACATAGAAGGGAATGGGTAGAACCTCTGTTTTGGGGATTTTCATGTGTTCATGTGCATTAGAATTTAAAGTAAGGATGAAAAAATGGAAGACAAGAAGGTGAAATTTCAAAGAATAAATTGATTCACACTAGTTTTTTATTGAGCTGGCAGTAGCCTGGATAAACATCCTAAACACTGCATTTGTCAGTAGCAATATTTTGTGTTTCTAATCTCATAGGATCTCTCCGTGGGATGAAAGTCCTTTAGAATAAACCAGTTTGATCCTGACTCTCCAATCAGCATTTAAGAATGTGCTGCTTTTTATTTGCATTAGGTTGTCTGACCAGTTTTCTCACCAGCCCAGTGGATTAAATTTTACTTCCCATTTCCTCAGCAGAGATGCAGTATCAGAGAGCTTTTTCTGTTGTTTACCTTCGGAGCAGACGGTTCTCCTTCTTCTGGTTCCCTGCAGAGCAGCCAGAGCCAGCTCAGATGCTGGAGTAGTTTCTCTGGGAAGTCATGTTAATGCACAACTTCTTTTTGTTCACTTTTGGACTGATTTTAACTGGAAAGCCTTTTTGGATAAAAGGTAAGCTTTCTTTTTTTACATATTCAGAAATTTCTCCAAGTCTGCTTGGACCCTGATTGTAATGATGCACACCTTTAACACTGAGCCACAGCTCTCCCTGTGCAGCCCTGCTCATTGAGAGAATCTTGGAAAAGATTACAGGTTGAAACTTTTTATACTTGAGCTCTTTGTGGGGTTTTTTTCTTCCTGGATATGGTAGGTATGCAAATCCATCATTTTCTGTGCAGGACATCTGCAGTTGCTGTCACTCTCATCAATAGCAGACGCTGTAGAAAAATATTTCTTCTTTGCTGATATGAGGGAAATTTCATTGGAATTTTTCATTAACTCATCTCCATTTACGATTTGGCTTCACATTTTAGATTTAAGTGTAACATCTGAAATGTTTCTTGGAAACTGGCATTTTTATGACATGCATCAAAGATGGTTTCCTGCTTTCAGGTGTCAAAATTTGAATTGTTAAAAGAGCATCTCCACAGTTAGTTCAACATACACTTCACTCATGAAACAGAATGGATTTCGTGATTTAGATAATAAAATTATTGAAGATTAAGAGCAAAATCACAATATCAAGTGCTGATACTCTTTTCAGACCGGTTTGCTAATATCAGCTTCCACATTTTGACTGCAATTGCAGCCCGTATTGTTAAATATATGCTACCTGCACCTAGCTTTTAAAAATCCTGATGCTATCTAGCAGGTAGAGATCATCATTACACTGGAGAACCCTCCCCACTTTGAATGGCTGGTTGTGTGACTTTTTTGCAATTATGAATTCCTTTCACAGGAATGAGGAAGCTGACTTTGTACTACTATAAATGTGAAGAAATCTCTTTGTTTCCTTAGAAAATAACAATTTAATAAAGAAGAAACCACTTCCATTGTTAAAACCCATGTTATTGTTGATTCTGTTTAAAAACAATGGTTGTATCTCTGTTGATCAAACCAGTTGATGAGCAGACAAGAAAAAGGAAGATTAATTCAACTTCACACAATTTTTTGAAAGGTCACTGGAGATTGGTTTTGTCTTTATAAAACCACTTACCTGAAACCAGATACTTGGCAGCCTTCTTATCTTTAGCTTCCTGCATTAGCATGTTGTTCTGGAGATAATTCTGATATCATGTAAAAGGCTACAAACCTTTTGCAAAGATCTGACTGTTGCTAGAACAAACAAAATGCAAGATTAGGCAACAGGTGGGAGGCAGCGTGGTGAGCCACGTTTTCTGCCACACAGGAGGTGGACAAATTGTATCCAGAGGACAACTAAAAGTGCTCCTTATTCAGGACAGTGGAGAAAGGAGAAGGCCAGCTGCACCAATTTTCTGTGGTACATCAGGATAAAAGTGTCAGTCATGGAAGAAATATGACAAAGTCACAAAGTTAATAATTCAGAATATGAGAGAATTAAGGCTTTGTTTAACGGCTTTGATAGTTTCTCTTTGTGTGCTCCAGAAGACCCCAGCTTTAATCTGAAGTAACTTTTTTTTTAAGTCAGTTTGATCATTCCTGAACTGTTTCACTCTTTCTCCATTTCTGGCTGGATCAGAATAGGCTTTTGTCTATCACCACTCTGCAGGTGCCAACATAATGCCTTATCCTTTCTGATTCTTTACCAGTTTCAAACTTTATTTTCAGGTATATCCTCTGAACACACATCCAAACTTTCTACATTAGAAATAATCATTCCTCGAAGTCTGATAGGCAGAGAGAAACATCCCCCATTGTCTCATGAGGTTTGTTACTCTGATTTTCTTTTTTTCTGATTGTTGCTGTTTTTCAAAACATTGTCCTACATTCCACACAATACAATGGATGGTACATAGAGATTTTTGTAATGAAATGTGCCCCACACTCTCTCTTCTGATTCTTAGTGTTTTCAACTAGTTTTAAGTATATTTGTTCCCCCAAAGGCCTGTGATTGTATTCTGAGCACCTTCCGAACTTCTAATCCTGTTAATGACCTGTAAGACAGAAGTGAGAAAGAACATACTTTCATTTCTTCTGAGTCAGATTAGATGTTGAACTTGAGCTAACATCCATGCTGGCCGTGTTCTGGTCTTTGGATAATAACCAGAGGATTTCAGCCGTGAAGTAAGCAAAGGACAAAAATGGTCCCAGTGAGTGGCACAGGTTAAGAGATGAGTTAGAAGAGAAACCTGAGCCTTAATTCTTCAGTTCTGAGGTAACTTCCCTTTGTGCCAGATACCGAGTTCCTTTACTGAAGTAACTCTTAGTGAAACTACATTAGTCATCTTTGTGCAAACCAATTAGGGGATAAAAGCCTGGGACTCGTTTATCTGATTTACAGAAGGAGTGTCACAAAGCATGATGTGGTACTGAGCAAAGAGTGCATTCATGGACTGTGCCCTCCTGTCTAAATAAAAATATAGATTCATGGCATTTACACTTTACATAGGAAAGAATGTTCACTTTGCTGCTGAGAGTTTGAAATATGGAAGTCTAAGAGTTAGGAATCTTGTGGTTTTTTACTTAAAACATACACAGTAGTTGGGCCTCTCTTGTCAAGCAAAACATGGAATAAACAAAACCAAATAGAAAAATCACCTACTTAAGTGATTTGTTTTGTTCTGTTCTGTTTTCAGGAGCATTCAGATGACAATCTTTCTTACTCAATTAAAACCAGAAATGGAACATACCTCCTAAAGCTGAAGAAAAATAAGTATGTGATAGTGTTCTAAGGAATTGTCTTGTTTCAGGGTTAGTTGCATACAGAGTAGCATTTTTATACTGAAAAAAATCAGAAGAAACCATTTAAATGTCAGATTGTAGCAACTACAGTTAAATACTGTGTCTCCGTTATGGTAATATCTTGCAAATAGAAGGGAATAATAGTAAATAGTTTTTCTAGCTTTGAAGAAATTTATTTTGATTATTTTTTTATTAGCAGTGCAAGACAGAACATTTCAGAAAATCCTAAGGAAAAATTAGAATTCAGTTCAATATCAGTTTTTTATTAGCAGGTCAGTGGGGTTTTAGCTCTGCTGTATTTTAAGAAATGTTTCTGTTTCTCTTATTCCTCTTTCCTGAGCTTGTAATAGGCCAGGTCCTTATACAACTGAGGCTGCTTAGATTCCTCTCTATGGATATTTTAGTTAAAAGACATAATAATGAGTTTCAAAATAACTTATTTTCCAAAAATTCGAGCTAGTTTTAAAGTATTTTTTATGTGCTTGTATTTTAATAATAATTTAGCATTGAGTGTGCTGCTAACAGAATGTAGCATTTACCAGGACTCTTGACTTGTTTCTTGTTTCTAGACCATTGAAAGAGTAGTAGTTTATTTTTGTTTCCAGAAAACTCCTTAGTGATGACTTTAAGCTGTACACATATGGGGAAAATGGGAAACTACAGGCAACACCATCCAAAAATGAGGTATTGTACATCATAAAACGTCCCCTTTGTGTCAGAATTTTCTCTGAAAAACCAGGGAAGCCAAGAAAAAATATATTTGCTGGGAATTAGACTTTTGTGAGTTTTCACAGTGGAGCATTTCTGTTTAACAGTTACCAGTGATCTAAAGATGAGGTTCACGAGGGACTGGGCTGTTTGTGGGGTGCAGCACCCCCGTTCCCCAAGGTGTGAAAGGATTTGCCAGGAGATTATGCCAAGCCTGAATTTGAGCCACCTTTGCATAATATGCAATTTAAAGTACACTGGCAGCATCAAAGCTCTATAGTTTTTACATCCTCTATCAAACAATCCTTATAAATACTTCTAAATTTAATTTCATCTTTAAACTGCACGTGAGCTCAGTGAGACTGAATTGGGTGGTTTATGCATGAAAGATCTCCTCAGAGCAGTTCTTAAGCAGGATGAGCAATGTAGATTAAAATATTTCACAATTTTATAAAAATTTTATAAAAATATAAAATATGGTGATGGGTTAAAATAAAAAGCTGGCTGTGTTCTAGAACCAAGGGATCAAAGGATACTTCAGGTACTCATGTCGAGGGATATTCTCCAAGAAGGTCAGGATTACTTTCCAAGTAGGGAGCTCTGTAAATTTCTAACAGCCAGTCCTTGATGTCATGCAAATAATATAGTGAGTTAGAAAATAAGTTTGCAGATGAAGGCAGCCACCTTGTTGTGTCACTAATTATGTGGGTTTGTTGCATTTCAGACACACTGTTATTATCATGGCACTGTTGAAGGACTTGCTGACTCCACACTTGCTCTGAGCACATGTGATGGCCTTAGGTATTTTCTCTTCCTATTTTTTTTTAATATTTCACCTTTTGATGAAGCTGAAATTCATTATAGGTTTTATACTTTCCCTAAACTCTCACTTTTTTCCCTTTTTCCGAAATTCCTTCACACAAAAAAAATAACTTTAGAGAAATTGTAATAAATATAGGCAGCACCTGGGCATGACCTGAAGCTTCTAGTACTTGATGTGAATGTCATGACCAGAGATACCTTTGCAGAAAAAAAACCTTTCCTTGGTGAAGTTTTTGTTGAACTTAAAACACTCCTGCAAACAACTTTCTCTTATGAATGGACACATTTCAAAAGACAAACCATTTCCATGAAAAAATTTTGTCCAAATTTGAACCGTTTTTTGTGTTTCAAATACAATAAAATCACAACTGAGATAAAATTCACTCATTATCTTTCAGGTGAAGTTTTACAGAGAGATGTCACAATAAATTAGGACATATCCTGGCAGTTCTTTAAATGAATAGAGATAAGGGCTGAAAGAGCCCTTTGCATCAGCTCTGTACCCACAATCCAGACTTATTTACCAACAATTTGGCTTTGTTCTCTTTTTTTCCCTTCCTTTTCTAACTGATTCAAGAAGCCCACACTTGTTGAGTATTTTAAATAAGTTCTGTTTTGTCTTTTATTGGGCATTTGAACTTACCCCCATATTAATATGATTTCACATAATAATTTGTTTCCACATAGTGTCTAAGTATCTAGCTGTTATTCATTCATCTAGTCATCACGAGGGAAAAAATGATGAAATAATGTTTCATTCTATTATGATTGTTAGGGGAATTCTCTACATTGGAGGCAAATGGTATGGAATGGAGCCCCTCAACACATCCAGCACATTTGAACATGTGCTTTACGAATTGGAAGATGGGCAGGGTATCCCCTTCCACTGTGGGGTGCTGAATGGCAGCCTGGAGCATGAGATGTTTGTGAAGCAGTCTGTGAAATACACATTTTCATCAAACAGCACCTCCAGCAGGGACAGGCTCCTCAGGGTAAATATATTTCTGTTTCTCCCTTGAGCTGAAGTCCAGAGCATCTCCAGGGCTCTTGCTCTGGCACAGGTGGGATATTTCCTTGTGGCACAAAGACATTTCCTTGTGGCCTTCATTTCCATGGACACCAAGCTGGTGGGAGCCCTGCTGAGGAAATCCTGGAACAGAAGATCAGCACAAGGGGATCTCACACAGCTCACTGAGCAGAGTCTGGGCAAGACATGCAGTGCACAAGCTGCCATTCAGCTCATGCATCCCAGTGTGAATTACTGACACAGAGATGTTTATGTGGTAATCTAACACAAATTGAGGCCATGTTACAAAATGCAATGTTGCAAACTCATTATGTTAATTTTCTGTGTTTTCTCATTTGCAGGAGAAGCGAGCTGTCCTGCCCCAGAAAAGCTATGTGGAATTATTCGTGGTTGTGGATCACAACAGGGTAATTATATCATCCAAGGCCAAATACATTTTACCGTTTTGCTAATTTTTCTCCTCTGACATTGTTATGGTATTTTACAGTTTTTGCTGAAGAATTCTGATCCTGCTGCAGTGCAAAAGGAAACAGTGGAGCTGATTAATTATGTTGATGGGGTAGGTCAGATAAATTGCCTGGATTCAGTAGTTTCTATTTTATGATAGTGTTCAGAAGAGCAGCTTTCTTTCCAAAAGATATATTTAGGTACTTTCATGCAGTAGAGCGTTTTTAGTTATACTTCATTTTATATTCTAAATATTTTTATTTAGTTTGCAATTTATAAATATTTTATATTTCATTTATAATTACAAATATAATATATTGAGTTTCAAAGAAATTGAAGTTATGTCCTGGTCACTATGTTCAGCTTATTTTGTACTCAGTAGTGATGAAGTCATCTTTCAAAATTCCATCAGAACAGCTGAGGGATGTTAATTGTAATTTTTTTTTTCAGATGTATAGAGCATTAAACATCCAGATTGTTTTGGTTGGATTAGAGGTTTGGACAGATGCCAACCACATATCTGTAATGGATGGTTCAGCTGGAGATGTGCTGAGTCGATTTGTTTCTTGGAGACAGAAAGATCTTCTGAAGCGCTCAAGAAATGATGTTGGTCACCTCATAATGTAAGTTTGCATTCAGTGGGGAAACCAGCCATGCTGCCAGTGTTAATGTATATGAGTTGGGGCTTGTATATGAATTAAAATATACCTAGAGTAAAATCCTCTGCACTTCCAAAATGGTTTAACCTGGAAAAATGACAAGAAGCTATAATGGATTCTTAAGAGTTAATCAACACCAGGGTGACCTCCAGAGGTCACTTCCACTTCAGCCTTTCTGTAATTGAGTGCAGTGACACAGCATACTTAAGTGATTGATCATTATTTTCGAGGTCTTATTCACATATTCATTATTAATTAGAATGAAACCCTGCTGTGGTGATAAATTCCTTCTTGACTTCAGGAAGACCACATTTTACCTTGCAATATTTCTTTCCATCTTGTCAGTGTCTTTTAGTAGAAATGGTGAACTTTCAACCCATTTTTAACACCACCTCTAAACTGCTCTTGTTGCAGAGGGAGAAGCTCTTTCAGTGGATCCATTGGAATGGCTTTTGTGGGCACTGTGTGCTCACATGTCCAGGGAGGGTCAATCAGCACTGTGAGTACATCACAATTGGGTATGGAAGAAACTGGTCCTTGACCTACTTGGTCAAATCACCCTGGTCTTGGAGTTGGCTGATTTCTTTCATGGGGTTTCTTGTGTAAAGACTTGTGCATATTTTACACCTCTTTTTTTTTTTTTTTTTTTTTTTTTAAGTACTTCCCAATTTATTTGTCAAATTCCACCCCATTTGGCTCATTTAATCTTCAACAAATCCTTTTGGTCATCTTTTGTGATTCATTAAATTCAATATTGCATAATCTCATCCTTGTACCATTAATGTTCATAACCACAGAGGTGTTGGGATGGGAATGCAGCTACAAAATAATGTTGGGGTTTTTTACTCTTTAAATAAATAGAAAGTAAACATAATGCACTGTAGTCTCAAGTGTCTGGAATTCCTCCCACTAGGATTGTAAGCAGGCAAAAAAAAATTTAAAATTAGTACAAAAGTATTTTTTCTCCATCCTTGGGACAGAACCAGTAACTCCAGAGGTTCCTGTCCTTAAAGTATGGATGCCACAACATTGTGGTCAATCTCAGAAGCAGATTCTGATCTTTACCTGTACATTTGTTGTTGAAAACTCCTTTGAAATCAGTGTCTAACAGTGTGGAGAGAATCACACAGAGTAAAACTGCCAGTGGTGATCCACACCAGCTGCCAACTTATTATCCAGAATATGATCCTCAGGGAAGGAGTGGCAGAATCTGGCCCTACCTGAAAATAAAGTAACGAGTTGTCAGTCCTTGCTGCTTTCACCTTACAATACAATTTGATATTCTGCCTTCATAGTCCCTGAGAGCTTTGTGGTGGGAGTAAATCACTGGGTGCAAACCCTGATTTCCATGGTTTCACTTTTTTAAACTTGATTCTCTTTATCAGCTGAATCATAACAAAATATTACAGCATGCCACAGTAGTTGCACATGAGCTGGGGCACAATCTGGGAATGAAACATGATGACAAGAGGTGTCCTGCATCCTATATCATGCACAGCACAGATAAGTAAGATTTCCAGTCATTTCATTTTAATAATTTGCTTTGTTTGCAGTGACTATGCTTTATAAGCTGTGAAACTCCTATGAATCTGGAAAAGCTTTAGTGGATGTGGAGTTATTTGATCACAGAGGTGGATTAACTGACTTAGTATTTGACATAATTTTAATTTAGATTAAATTTTATCTGTTTTCTGACCCAGTCATTCTTTATTTGTAACATTCCTAACAACATATTTGGAATTCATTATTTTTTTTTAGTAATAGCATGTTGCTGGGGTTTTCTCACCCTCTTGAGAATGCTTTACATTTATTCACTGAGTTTGGGCAAATATGCAACAAATTATTAAACCATTAATTTAAAAAATCAAAAACTTATTGGCTTATGTTTCCTTCAGTTCATTTATTCTTTGGGTTCCCCTTAAGAGAAAAAAAAAAATTTAATGTATCCCCTGTTGTATTAATAAATCAGGGTAACTGAACACTGGGAATACTCTAGGAAGGAGCATTCCTCAGTTCTTAGGGACTCCAAGTTAAGATGAAGGTTTTCCTGAGAATAGTTTTTAATCAAACATTTTTAGACTCAGTATAGAATTTCTAAGGCCTGTTTCATACAGGACACCAGAACACACATAATCTGATGGTCTCTGGCCTCTAAAGCATTCATATTTTAATAGTATTTTAAACTTCTAGTACTGCACTTTAATGCAAATTAAAATAAAAATTAACTGTTTCATGATCTCCTAGCATTACTAAATACAATCTTTATTATGGAGCAACAATATTTTAAGAGCTTGAGTTGTATGTTCTCCTGTAAGCAAAATATTTATAATAATACAATATTATCCTTTCCAGTGGATCCAGGAATTTCAGCACCTGCAGCGCTGATGATTTTGAGGCCTTTATCCTAAATGGAGGAGGAAACTGCCTTAGAAATCCTCCCCAAACAAGTAGTGTGTACAAAGAACCTGTCTGTGGTAATAATGTGGTCGATAAAAATGAAGAATGTGACTGTGGCAAACCACAGGTAATACATGAAATTGAGCTGGATACCTATTATGTTGTATGATATGATTGATATGATATGATATTTCTATATAATAGTGGCCTAATTGCATTATTATCTGAGGAGTTTTCCTTGTAATTTTGCATTTTTGCAAGCAATATCAAAATAAATATTAGTCAAAGTTAAGGCCAATTGGACTTAACATTGAGGCAAAGAGAATGCTGAGAAAGAGGAGAAATTCAGAGCAGAGTGTGTGGGAGCATCACTGGGTTTTGTCCTGGTTTTAGCATCATGGATGTTTCTGTTCCATGGCAGAGACTGTTTATCTATAGAACATGTACAGGTTTTTTAACTGTAACCCTTCAACTTTGCCTACACAAAATGACTTTTAGGTGTCACATTTGCATTGTCAAAATGTCTCTCCAAGAATGGGAGGCATTGGCTCATTCTTCAGAAGGTAAAAGTGTCTCAAAAAAGGCAGCAGTAAATCAAAAGGCTGCCAGCAAGCCCTGGTTCCATTGGCATCCCTGTGCCACAACCCATCAAAACAGGTGTTTTCTGCTGACTTGTACAAATAAAACACAGCAGCAATGTCTGCTGGTTCTTTTTAAAGCAGGAGAACATGAGAATCTGACAGAGTTATTTAAACTTTGGCTTGTCCATCCACATGAACTGGTGAGTACTTTGCTGGCTGTAGAAATAAAGCACTATCCCCCTTACAATGTTCTCAGGAATGCTCCAACCCCTGCTGTGATGCTGCCACCTGCAAACTCACACCTGGCTCACAATGTGCTCAAGGACTGTGCTGCAAAAACTGCAAGGTAGGCAATGCTTTATTGAACTAAATTGTTAATACTCAGTGAGATTTTTTTTTTAATGTTTGAAGAGAGCTATCCTAGTCCTCCTGACACATTTTCAAATGACATTCACCAGTAAGAGAGCATGTAAGAAGAGAATTTGTCTTCTTTAAAATCACTAAATGTTCCCACTTATTGTAAAATGTAGGTGAACCTGGTGGGAAGAAATTATAATGTCTGACTTTAATGCAGAAGGCTGAATTATTTCTTTATTATAACTACACTATATTAATATACTGCTTAAAGGAAGATACTAAAACTACATAGCTACTTTCTCTAACTACCATATCTAACTAACTCACAATTTGTGACCCTCTCTGGAGAGTCCAGCCCCAGGTATGTTGGATTGGCCATCAGCCTCAAACAATCCTCACCAGAATCCAATCAAGCAATCACCCCAGGTAAACAATTCTCTAAACACATTCCACATAGGAAAAACAAGGAGCAGAAATAGAAATTGTTTTCTCTTTCTTTCCTCTATGCTGTTCTATGAAAAATCCTGAAAGAAAGAAGGATATCCCTGTGGCAGCCAGTTGTCTTTGTTTCACTCTAGAACTTTTTCTGTTGCAATACTAAAAGTGTTTCTCCCTCTCTGGTCCTAGTTTAAAGTGGCAGGAGCAGAGTGCAGAGCAAAGCAAGATGCCTGTGACCTCCCTGAGTACTGCAATGGCAGCACTGCCTACTGCCCAGATGATGTTTACATCATGAACGGGCACCCATGCAGCAGCAGCAAGGCTTATTGCTACTATGGAGTGTGCCAGAGCTTTGATTCACAGTGTGAATCCATCTATGGCAAAGGTATTAATGTGAACCCACTGCGGGCTCCTGAGAGACATTTCCAATTTTTCTTTCTGGTATTTTTCAGACACCTTACTGAGATTCACTTTTTTCTACAGGGGCACGGAAAGCACCTGATATATGCTTTGAAAAAGCAAATATTAAAGGAGATAGGTTTGGAAACTGTGGGATGAAAGGTGGAGTGTACAAAAAATGCCCTGTCCAGTAAGTCATCACCAAATAAAAGCTAACCCTAAAATCTTCAATATAAAAAAAAAAGCATTTATTCCAAAGCCTTAAAATAAGAGATTTTAAAGAATATTTTAAAAATGCAAACTGAACAGTTGGAATGAATTTGCACTGATAGTGATTTTTACCTGTTTACCTTGTCTCTGAGTATCTTTTATTCCATGCAGGCACAGTCTGTGTGGGAAGCTGCAGTGCACATCTGTCAGTCTCCAAAACCTCCCAGCCTGGAGCGTTGTCAATAACGCCTCCGGGGTTTTGTGCTGGTCCTCTGACTTTGACCTCGGATCAGATATTCCTGATCCTGCCCAAGTTCATGATGGGACAGCCTGTGGAGAGAACAAGGTAAGAGGAATCACGGCAGCCTGACAGAATATATTCCAGGTGGAAGGTTCTGAATTTCCAAAAACATTCCCTGGCTCTCTTGTTCATACGCCATAACACAATAAAAATCTTTTGAGATTAATACATGCAAACAATTAATTAGCTCTTCAAAAACTGGGGTGCTACATTATCAGTCATTCAAATTACTCCATCAAAGTGCAAACCTGAGACATAAAGTTATAAAATTCTGAAATCCTGAATGTTGTATCAGTTCTTTTTCTTAACATGTAAGTGAAAGCTGCAGTTGTAAACATATACACTCATATAGTATATTTATAAAAGGATGGGATTTTTTAAAGTTTTGTGTTTGCAAGACACTAATTACTTGTTGCAGGCCTGTTTAGGTTTTGAATGTCTTGATGCAAGATATCTGGGCTACAGCTGTGATGTAAAGCAGAAGTGTAATAATAACGGGGTGAGTAGATAGTGCTTTGTGTCCTGTTTCTGTGCAAACTCCCTGCATTTAAGCAATAAGCAGCAAAGCCAGAACACTGCAAACCCCTTAGCACTAACACTGAGAGGCATTTCATCTGAATTTCCCAAGGGAATTTTTTTTAATACTACTGAGCTGGTGAATTGCAAAAGAAAAATATTCTTTTGAGGATGACAGTCTGATAATTCCTGATTTATATATGTCTCTGTGAAAAATCAAAATGGGGTCCAAAGATTGTAAAACTAAGAAGGTTTCTGGACAGTGATTAATTGCAGGAAATAACACAAATGTTAACTTAGAGAGAATTACCACGGGGTATCAGAATCCCTCGGTGGTTTGGGGTGTTATGGAGGGGCAGAGCTTATTCCCAGTCAATATTTCATGTATTTCTATGCATTACTATGCAGTATTTTTTATTTCCACATGCAATTCATTGCATGGAACTCCATGCCAAAGGTTTGAGTAGCCATTCTCAGGGTGGTGTTGTTTGACTAATCCCCGTGTTTGGGCTGTGGGGGTGTGACAACAATGGGAGCTGTCCCTGCCTGACTGATGACTCGCTCCTGTTTGGGCTGTAGGTGTGTAACAACAACGGGAATTGCCACTGCGATCCGGGATGGGCCCCTCCGTTCTGTAACCAGTCTGGCTACGGTGGCAGTTCTGACAGTGGCCCAGCTCACACAGGTAGGACACTGAAACTGGCCCTCATTCTGCCCCAGGGGCTGAGACTCACAACATAAAAATAATCTACTAATGTTTTTTTCTATTGCATGCAACCCAAATCATGGACTGACTTGAAGAACAAACATTATTATTTGATAATGAAGTAGCTTTCGCTTGCCTTTACACACAAAATATTCTCCATCTCTTTGTCTAAAAGCAAAGTTCATAATCTGTAGTTTTCTGAGGAAAATCTGTGTTACTTTCTGCAGAACTTTATTGGATTTTACTAAAAAGGGAAAGGGGAAGATTGTTTTGTATTTATTAAAAGTTTAGGATGGCAAAGCAAACATGCAGAGCAGTTGTGGTAAGCAAATAAAAAATGAATGTCTGCTTCAGAATTACAGAAAACATTTTATGGAAAAGAAAAAATGTTGCATATACATAGGGTGGGTAAGGCAGAAAGAACTTGTAATACCACAAGGCCAAATCCTACTTTTCTGATTGCAACATGTTATAAATTTCAGTGAAGTTGTTAATTCTATTCTACAACAATTTGAAGATTGTACTTTTTAAAACAACAAAAACAACAACAAAAAAAAAAGGCTTTAATAGCTTTTAAATTATTTTAAATTCCATGGTTTCAATTCTTTTTCCCTAGATACATCACTTCGGGATGGGCTGCTGATTTTCTTCTTCCTGGTGCTGCCTGTAGCCATCCTCATTGCAGTGGCAGTATTTAAACGTGATGCAATAAGGAGAAAACTTTGCAGGAAAAGCAGAGGACAGCACAGGTATTTCCCTTCTGACAGGTGCTATTCCAGCATGAGAGGTGCCCCAGGTCAGTGCAGCAAGGCAGGTGGATGCTTTACCTGCACAGAAAAATCCTCATCTCCTAAAGTACAGGACTGCCCTGCTAATAGCAGCAGTGGGGAGTTTAACAGCACATCCCTGCTCCTTGGAAGTGCAATCAGACACTCCAGTTCTCTATTCTCAGGCATTTTTTCCCAAATCCATTGCACTTTCCTAATTTTTGTTGATAATTTTATTGTATGGGCACAGGGGCAGAGCGTATTAAAATTGCTTGTCAAATCCAGAACAAGATGGACTCAAAGCAGAACGCAGAGCTCTGAGCTGTAACTTTCTCTTTGGAAAATGCTGCATCCCTGAAGGATTTCCTGATGATGTGGTTTCTGTTTCAGGGATAATAATGGGCAGGAACCAAAGCAAGGCAACAGAGCAAGTCATGAAACAGGAAATACTCAGGTAAAATAGATGGAGACTTGGATTATTTCATGTTGGGCAATCCAAACTGCACAGTGCCTTTTCTCCAACACAATCATGACTTTGTGACTTTCTGATACATTGAAACCATCTCTATTATTTCTTAGGCCAAACACTGGAGATGCTGCTTAGCCAGGCTGTGGGTCTAGTTCTGATAAACCTGAATAAAAATTATCAAAACAAAATGTTGCAAGAATATGAAGAAAGCCCCAGCAAATGAGAAGCAGTTCTAAAATGACATTAGCTTAATACTGAAGAATTATCTACACTTTGTGTTTTCTGCTAATCTGATTTTCTGCAATGTTTTTTCCAGCCTGCTGCATCAAGTCACAATATTTTTACCATATTGCATTTTCCTGGTACAAGGTTTGTAGTGTTTAAAATCTTCTTCTTTTCATCTTCACGTGTTTATGTTGCTGTAAGTGAAGTCATTGATGTCCTGCGTCCTGCTTAGGGGGATTTTTCATGCAGAATCATGAAATAGATTAAAGATTAGATTTAATTAATAGATTAATTCAATTTAAATTAATTAGCTTAATTAATAGATTAATTAGATTAATTTATAGATTTTTTCATGCAGCATCAATCATAGATTAAAGGATTGAAGGAAAAATGTTGGCATAAACACAGGTAAATGCTGCAAGGGAGAGGAAGGGGCAGAGGTAGGTGGGAATGCTATAAACTGTTTAAAAATGGTAAAGAACCAGTTTAGAAATGTCAGGTGCCTCAAGTCATGAAATACTAAACACAATGTGCTTTCCACACTTCAGGCAAACCCAGCTTCCTGCAGCTTCCTCAAGACCTCAACGACCCCCAGTCCCAGCTAGACCAGTTGTCTGAAATGTTTCTTGGGAACCCTCAACCAATTCTGACAAGTAACTGGCCTGAAAAACAAATTAAAGGATTCCAATGCTCTCCTTGTGCAGCCAAAATGCCTTTGGAAAGCACATCCCTCCTGGAAGGCCTGGGTGCCAAGGGCCACTGAGCACAGATTTGGTGACACCCCAGTGTTTTGCTCCTTGCTGCTGGCTGTGTTTGTGCCTCCTCTACCTCACCTTTTATAAATCAGACCCTGAAGGGTGCACAGGACTGAAGCTGGGGGAGTGTCAGAGAACAGGACTCTCCCACGCTGCTGCCTCCCTCTCAGGCCACAGAGAAGTGAATTCAGCTGTTCACAGACACAATTCAAAGATGGGAGATCTGCACTTTACCTCCTGGGCTGTCCTCTCCTCTCCTCAGGACACTGCCAGGGCCTGTGGAGCCAGGTTTGGGGACAGTCCCTGTCTGCCATCAGCACACCTCTCACAACCCACCAGCGTGTCAGCTTCCATTTCAGGTAATTTATAACAGCAACCTCACCTGGGGACACCAGAAACTCTGCAGGTCATGTCCCGAGTCTGAAAGAACCCATCCATCTCTGTTACAGAAAATATGGGATATTGGGAAATACCTCTACAGCTCCACAGTGGTTCAGTGTTTACTGGGTGTTGCAGCTTGGCATTTTTCCTAGAAACTGATTCCACTACAAAAGCAACAGATTTAATTTTGTCATTCTAAATGGGACAGTCAGAAACCAGCACTGATTTCAAAGAGGATGTGTGGTGTGACATATTTTTCCAAATAGGCCTCCATCAAATGTCTCTGTGTAGGAGATGGATGCAGGAAATCCAGGGAAAAGTCTCCACCAGAAGGGAGCAGAAGCTGCAGGGCAGAGACCACATCGCTGCCAAGAGCAGAGCTGTGGGTGTGGATCCACCTCTCCTTGGGGACTACAGCACACCCTGCCTGTGCTCATGCAAATTTCAGAGAACAAACCAGGAAAAAGAATGAATAAATTATAGGAATGCCTCACTAAGAAAATATTTCCAACACCTCAGATGACCACATCACTGAAAAGCTGGAAAAAAGAACTCAAAAGAGATTGTTGGCAAAAAGTCTGTGTCTTCCAGGAAAGTGTCCTCTTCCTTAATCCCTCAGAATCTCAAATTGTTGTTATTAAATAACCCTGTCATTTAGACCTTGAGTATAATATGACATTGATTTTATTTATTACATCACAATTTAGAATAAATCCTCAGGGGCAGCAGACTTGGTTGTGTCTTTGTTTTGTGATCAGCACAAAAGGCACTGCTGGGCACGTGGGGATGGCTCAGCCTTTGATGCTCTGGGGGCACTGAAGAGAATTCTGGTGCTTATTGTGATACCAGAATGGGGTAAAAAATGGCTAAAACCAGAACTGGGTAAAAACTGGGTAAAAGATGGGTAAAACCTGAACCAGGTACAAAATGGGTAAAACCAGAACTGGGTAAAAAATGGGGCAAACCAGAACCAGGTACAAAATTGGTAAAACCAGAATTGGGTAAAAAATGGGGCAAACCAGAACCAGGTTATAAATAGGGAAACCAGAACCAGATTAAAAAAAATGGGTAAAACCAGAATTGGGTAAAAGATGGGTAAAATGAAACACTGGTAAAAAAAGGATGAAACCACAATGCTAAAAAGTGGCTAAAACCAAAAATGGATTAAGAAATGGGTAAAACCATAAACAAATAAGAAACGGGTCAAACCAGACCCGGGTTAAAGCCAAACCGGACCCGGCTTAAAGCCAAACCGGACCCGGCTTAAAGCCTGATCCAACCAGACCCGGGTTAAAGCTGGGTCCAACCAGACCCGGGTTAAAGCTGGGTCCAACCAGACCCGGGTTAAAGCCAGACCAGACCCGGGTTAAAGCCGGATCCGACCAGACCCGGGTTAAAGCCGGGTCACACCAGACCCGGGTTAAAGCCGGATCCGACCAGACCCGGGTTAAAGCCAGACCAGACCCGGTTAAAGCCAGACCAGACCCGGGTTAAAGCCAAACCAGACCCGGGTTAAAGCCGGATCCAACCAGACCCGGGTTAAAGCCAAACCAGACCCGGGTTAGAGCCAAACCAGACCCGGGTTAAAGCCGGATCCAACCAGACCCGGGTTAAAGCCAGACCAGACCCGGGTTAAAGCGGGGCCGTTCCCGGCTCTGCCGTTCGCGCCGGGCCCGCCAGAGGGCGCCGCGCGGCGCGGGCCCCGCGCATGCGCACAGTGCAGGCGGAAGCGGCGGGAGCGGCAGCGCTGGCGGCGGAGCAGCGGGAGCAGCAGCGGGAGCAGCGGCGGGCGAGCGGCGGCGCTGCGGTGGCGCTCTGCCTGCTGTGCGGGCTGCCCGCGGCCGGCAAGTCCACCCTGGCCCGCGGCCTGCTCCGCCGGCTGCCGCAGCGGCCGGGCTGGGCCTGCGCGCTGCTCGCCTACGACGAGCTCATCCCGCCCGAGGCCTTCCGCCCGCGCGCGCCGGGGGCGGGCCCGCAGGAGCCGTCCCCATTGGTCAGTGCGGGCGCGCATGCATGACGTCACTGCGCGCGCCGCGGTTGCCGGGCAACGGGACGCGGCCGCCGCGGGCCCGGTCCCCTCATGGCGGGCCCGGTCCCCTCATGGCGGGCCCGGAGCGCTCGGCGGCGGCGGTGCCGGGCCCTGACCGCTCATCTTCCTCTCCCCGCAGCTGCCCGGCTGGAAGCGGAGCCGCCGCGAGCTGCTGCAGTGCCTGGAGGGGTACCTGCGGGCGCTGCTGAGCGGGGCGCCGCTGCCCGGCCCCGCGCAGCGCTTCCTGGGCCGCTGCCTCCCGGAGCTGCCCGCCGCCGGAGCCGCCTCCCGGCCGCTCGTCCTCCTGCTGGATGACAACTTTTATTACCGGAGCATGCGCTACGAAGTGTACCAGCTGGCCCGCAAATGTAATTATTCCTTGCTTTTCGGCGTGAGGATGTTTGTAGGGAATTCAGGGTGCTCCAGCTGCCTTCTTTCAAGTGCTCTCCTGGAGCGCTGGTTATTCTGATTGCTGGATGCCTGAAATAGAGTAGCAATCAATGTAACTTTGTTAGTGCCTTGTTATAAATTGGCAGATCATACCTAGAGCAGCCTTAAAGCACCTTCCAGTACATAAGGAGGCTCCAAGAGAGCTGGAGAGGGACTTGGGACAAGGGCATGGAATGACAGGACACAGGGAATGGATCCCACTGCCAGAGGGAAGGGTTGGATGGGATATTGGGATAATTGTTCCCTGGGAGGGTGGGCAGCCCTGGCACAGGGTGCCCAGAGCAGCTGTGGCTGCCCCTGGATCCCTGGCAGTGCCCAAGGCCAGGCTGGACACTGGGGCTTGGAGCAGCTGGGACAGTGGAAGGTGTCCCTGCCATGGCAGGAGGTGAAACGAGATGGGCTTTAAGGTCCCTTCCAATCCAGAGCCTTCCATGGTTCTGTGTGTTGATCTCAGACATTTCTTGTCCAGCCTTGAAGGTAAAATTCTGTTCCCTGTGCAAGTTTGTGTCCATGTCAGACTCAGAACCAGTGCAGAAACTCCTCATTCATGAAAAGCCTTTCCCCTGCATGCTGCTCTCAGAAATTCTTACTTGAACTGTTTAAAGATAAAATTGTCTGGTTCTGTTCTTTTTAGATTCCTTGGGGTTCTGCCAGTTATTTTTAGAGTGTCCAGTGGAATGCTGCCTGCAGAGGAATCGCCTCAGGAGTGATCCTGTGCCCGAGCAGACAATACAATTAATGGCAAGGAAAATAGAAATGCCAGATCTCAGGAAAAACACCTGGGAGCATCACAGCCTCATTCTGAATAGTTCTGAATGCATCTCAGAGGATGAGTATGTTATTGATTGATCCCAGAGTTTTCCCTAAGTGCTGTTTTCAGTGGTAGAAGTTTCTTGTTGTATCTACACAATGTGTAAAAAATATGATTTTTTACATCACCAGTGGTGATTTTTGGAGGCCAGGCAGTTACACAGAATCCAGTTTTTTTGGGAGCTCACAGCCACCACCTTCTGCAGAGTTAACCTCAAAACTCACAGCATTCCTACCCTGTCACTGAAAATCTGTGCAAGTTGTCTGGAACACTAGGGCTAGAAATCAATAAATTGAATTGTAATTGTTTTTAATTTCAGATTAATTCACTGATTGCCTAAAAAAATAACTGAAATCTTGCTTTTCTTTTTTTTTTTTTTTCCTGTGGCAAAATTAGAAAAGAAGTGTTATCTGTTTGAGTGCCATGGTTTACTCTGTTTGTTTTCCTAGTGAGCAGATCATGAACTTGCTGGCCACTGCTTTGGAAAATCCAGAGAGGCCAAACGAGGAGGACACGGAGCAGAAGGTAGCACTGCTGGGCTTCAGGGCACAGCTTTGGCTGCTGCTAATGTGTTGTTCTCAAATAGCACTTCAAAAATCAAATAAATTCAAAGTTTCTGCTTGTTTCCTTCCTTCCTGGTGGCCCTGGCCAGGAGGCAGCTCGAGCCATCTGTGCAGCCAGTGCTGTCCATCAGGCTGACCAGGCGTGCAGGAGAGTCATCTCTGAGGCCATGCAGGATGCCAAAGGTACCTCTTGTACCCATCCCACCCATCCCAGCTGCCAGCTGGCGATGGGAAACAGCCCCTGAAACTCCTTGGGAGAAACTGCTCAGGAATCCTATCCCAACAGTCTGCTCAGTGTTACTTGTAGGAGTTTGTAGATGTGAAAACCAGAATCGTATTTATTAACTGTATTCATTTTAGAGGATTTTAATACTGTTTTGGGACACATGTCAATAAGGACAGGGGCTTTGCAGTCTGCACTGTTTTGCTCCTGAGATTTATATGAGGAGCAGCTCGGTGTCCTTAACTGAACAGCTCAGCTCTGTGCCTGTGTTCAGGGACAAGAGGGAATGGCTGGAGCTGTGTCAGGGAGGTTTAGATCGGATTTTAGGGAAAGGTTCTGCCCCAGAGGTGCTGGCACTGCCCAGGCTCCCCAGGGAATGGCACAGCCCCGAGGCTGCCAGAGCTGCAGAAGGGTTTGGACAGCCAGGGATGGACAGGGTGGGATTGTTGGGGGGGGTCTGTGCAGGGCCAGGAGCTGCACTGGATGATCCTGTGGGTCTCTTCCAGCTCAGGATATTCTGTGGTTCTGTCAGCAGGAAAAGTTCAGCTTCAATTTTGTTTTAGGTAAAAGCCTTCTCCCAAGTGAGATGAAGAGCCTGGCAGAAGAACTCAACAAACTGAAAGCAGAATTTCTGGAAGACTTAAGGCAAGGAAAGACTCTGAAAACCCAATATTCTGACCCTACTACAAGTGTTATTTCTTCATTCCAACATAAGGCAATCAATGTAGTAAATAAATATATTTTAAAATAATGACATAGAGAATGTTGGGGGTTTAGGAGTCCCAAGTGTTTCAAATGCAGTACTGTGAGCACTGCTGCTGAGAGATCTGAGGTGCAGCTCGCTTCTCTGGAGCCCCTGTGCCTCCTCTCCCTATGATATGGAAGAGAAACAGTTTAATCAAGTCTAACCAAGCTGTTCTTGGCTGTGGAGATCAAGCCAAGAGCAAGGAGAATTAAATTTCACAGAATCAGAAAGAGTTAACCCAGGAGGAGCACTTGGGAAATCACCAGCTCCACCCATGGAAGGATCTGCAATTAAGAATCAACATGGGACCTAATTAGAAAGTGTTATTTTATTCATATCTTACAAAAGCAAAGCTTCACAACATGAACTACACGACACAGAGTAATTTCAGAATTAACCTTGTCGTCTCAGAAACGTTCACTAACATTAAAATTTATTTTACAACTCTAACAGGTTTCATTTTTGCATAAAATCTCTTTACACTGAAATACATATTATTAACAAAGTAGGTACTTAGAAGCACATACACAAGGATTGCTCAATGAAAAATGCTTTATCAGGAGAGAGCTTTCCTGCAGCAGAACATCATTTGCTGTAGATTTTCAAAGAAGCTTAAAATTAGTAGAAAACTTGCCAGTGAAGACTCCTAAATTACATTCCTTTTGTCAAAAAGAAACAAACAGCAAACCCCCAAAACATTCTGGAACAAAACAAACAGTAACAGATTATTTGGCTGGAAAACAGTGCTGGAAATTGTCCCAGCACTGAGTTTTATATTAAAAAGCCAATCAACATTTTATGTCTTAATCCTCTTCATCTAAACATGTGTCTGTGAAAAAACAACTGGTTTTCCTATTGCCTCCTTCACAGTTAAAGAATTAACTGTGATAATGAAGATGTTCAAATGTTCATTGGAATATTCAGTCTCAAAACAGTACATGTGTATTAAGAGTGCTATAAATAGTGCATGTTAGAAATGTTCACAAAGCTGTAAAATAAGCTATAACAATAAAAACAAAACCCCCACAAAGTTCATGTTTTGCAACTGCAGAACTTAACAGAACTGAGCTATGGAAAAATTCAATCTCCTTCCCAAACTTCTGTTAATAACAGTTAAAATGCTAATCACCCATTACTTTGTAATGTGAGGATTTGGGTTTTTAAAAAAACTACCAAAACAAGTGAGTGCAGTGTAGCACATGGAGGACACGATTTGAAAAGTTCTTTTAGCTAAGGACTCAATCCCAGAATCCTGGACAAGTCTCCCTCACTGACTCTGGGTAAGGCCTGCTTGTGCAAGGGATCATTCTTGGAAAGAATTTGCCACTACCAGCTCTGGTCTTTCAATTACAGTCAATAGCACGTATAAATGATGAAAATAGGAAAATACACCTTCCAAAGCTGCTCAGTTGGCAGGAGGGGACAGTGATGTCAGGTGTTGTTTGGCACAGCTGAGCACACAGTGTGACCATGGAACATGAACAGTGCTAGGCCTGGGAAGGGCACAGGGATCCACCCCAGGGATCTGGTGCAGAGCCAAGGGATGAGCACCAAAGCTGCTGCAGCTGCCCAAGAGCCCCCTACAATGGGGAGTTTGCCCAAGGAAACAGGGAAAAGAGTTTTTTCATTCTCAACCGTTCAGAGATGTCCCAGCTAACCTTTCCCTTAGTTACTCAAGAGCAGAACCAATGGTATCCAGGCAGCAGCAGGAAAATCCTTCCAAACAACGATTTGTAAGGCTTGGGAATAGATTATTTCACACTGAGTTCTGTTATCAAGAACATATATTCCCCACAATGGGATCCCCTCCTAAACAAGGGCCCCTTTTCCACGAGGTGCTGCAGGCTTCCTCTTGCTCCCAACTCCTCCATCAGTGACCCACCCTGTTCTCTTCAAGGCCAGCGTGGTTCGGGAGTCATTTCTCTCCATCACCAAATCATGAGACAAAGGAAAGCCTCCAACACTGCCAAGAGAAGCCCCAGAGGGTCAGAAACCACATCTGTGCACATGGAAATTGCTCTCCCTACGATGCCAGCCAGGAAAAAGCCACAAGCCAAGGAGCACTTGGCTGCTGTGGTTACTCTACTGTAAGGTGCTCCCTGGAGCACCACTATTCCACAAGTTTCCTTGGAAATGCCAGAGCTTAGGAACAGGAGAGTGCATCATCTATCAAAAGTGAAGGAAAATAAACACTTTCATAAATTACCAATTGTAAAATCTTCAAGAGGAATGTCTCTTTTCCTAACACTGCATCTGAGCCAAATTTAAATTGTAGAATTGTTCAATGTGTGATCCAAAGAGAACCACCCTTTCTGCCCTCTTTGACTGGAAAAAAATTTGATTCCAAAACCTGTCCAGGAGCAGTTACTTCTAACTGGATTCCAGTTCAGTCAACTTTTACTCCTTAAAATAAAATAATGGATGTTTACACACACAGACTTGCAGTTTTACTTATAAAATAAATCTAAATAGTTTAAAGCAACAATGCAATTTTTTGGAATTACAGAGTGTCCTGATGAAAAATGTAAATTACATTCTGTCTTACAAATCCAGCAAAACGAATTCTGAACCAGGCCTGAAAACAAAACCATTTTTAGGAGTGACAATGTTATTGTTCATCTTCACTACACTGGAACCACTCCAGTGGCAGTTTTCTGACCTCATTTACTTCAAGACTGCACAGCCAAGAAAGAACCCAGTTCCTCAAGCACAGAAATTCAACAGTAGGTCAGTCAGGTAGACAGAAACACATCTGGTATCCAAATTTCTATTTAATTAAAGTCAAAATTACTTCTACAGCTAAAATTCTTACACAGGTGGTTTTCCTGCATTGATCTCACCCTAATCACTGTAAGTTTTTCCATTGGTTTCAGGAAGTTTTAGCTCCCATAACAATATAAATCTGAATATGCCAAGCATTTGCTATTGAGATTCCAACCTCTGACTTGTGGAAAATTAGTAAAATCTCCTTGCTTTTAATAAAACACAGTTTGCTGATAGGAAAAGGGGAATATAAAAGGGAAGCTTTAATTTGTCTCAAGTAGGACAAACTAAGATAAAAGTGCATGTCTAAATATGGGAAAAGTAACAGTTCTTCCTTTATTTTTAATATCTCAAATTCTTATCTAGCACATAAAGTTATTATTCATTTTAATTAGATGTTTTACTCAGGTTTATGTTAAAGTGCCTGTCCTTTAGCCTGAGGGCTTCTAAAGATGAGTGTACACTATGAAACAAAATAAACAACTTCAGTTACCATTTGCCATCCACAATTCCTAAAAACAACTTCAGTGTAATCCGTCAGTTTTCCTTTGCATCCTGCATGGAGCCCAGAAAAAGCCAGAGGTCCTTCCCCTTATTCCCAGCACACCCAAAGGACGTCAAACCTGGGAGAGGGGACAAACCAGGCCTCCAAGTCACTTGAAATTTACAATAAACTGGATTATACAACTCTCAAAAATATAGGCAACCTCTCAGTTATAGCCTGGCCCAACATAAAACTGAACAAAGGAGTCTGATTTGTAAACTTCTTGTTTGTTTCTATCAGAACTTCTATCAGCAGGACAGAAGTCTAATTGTGCAAATTTTAAATACCTGTACAACTCAGTTTAAGGCAGTTAGAAATCTCACAGAATATATATTAATTCTACAAGCTCTTCATTATGTCTCTAAAAATTGCCTCCTCTGAAAAACAATGACACGTAAAATGTTGTAGAGTGTAGGTAAAATAAGGTATCTTACTTTTTTGTTTTTGTAACTCATGAATGACAGGCTTTTAGCTCTTTTTTGTTTCCTACCATAGCTTTATTTGCAATAACCTGTTATCTTCTAGTTTTGTGCTAATAGTTAAATTAGTGTTTAAGTCCTAGCATGAAGAGTTTAGACTATACTAAACAAAAACTTATTATTAACCTTAATCAGATTAAAGCAACTTTTACATCAAATTGAATTTATATGTGAAAACTGCTTGTGTTTGTTTGAGTAGCCAGATTTTTAAGGATTTCTCCAAAGTCATAGAATGGTTGGGATTGAACATGACCTTAAAGGACAGACACCTTCCACTGTCCCAGGCAGCTCCAAGCCCTGTCCAACCCGGCCTTGGGCACTGCCAGGGATCCAGGGGCAGCCACAGCTGCTCTGGGCACCCTCCCAGGGAACAATTCCTTCCCAAAATCCCACCTAACCTTGCCCTCTGTCACCACGAAGCCTTTCCTCCTTGTCCTGTCTCTACATGACGTGTCGTTGCATTGACCTTTTGTATTTTATGGGTAACATATCTTGTGTTGCCTAGTAAACAATCTGGGAATTACATCCTATGGTTCAGGACACACGCTCTGCTTCTCCACTTGCAGAATGTTTATTGGGATTAAGTGCAAGCAACTTAAATTTAGCAACCACAGCATGTAAATGCATTCCAACCCTTACAGCACTCTTGGCTTTTTTTGAAAGGCTACATATAAAACAGCAACTGAATCTGATATAAAATTTCCCTGGCAAGTTTTACAAGAATACAGAAACCATTTTGCCTCCTCTGTCGAATTGATTTATGTGAAGATTCCTTATGGGAATGTGCAAGCTTTCCATCAGCAAGTATGAAAAATAGACTGTAATATGTTAAAAAACTAAACAAAAGCATGTTCTCAGTCAATGTTGATTATGTTGGCCTCTTGCAAAGTGGCAAGCGAAGTCGTACTTGTTTTTACACTTACACCCACAAATGTTACACTGGAAAGGATTTTCAAATCCATGGCATCCCATGTGGATGGTGTAAAGGATATTGTCTGCAAAGTACATGTCACAGTGTGGGCAGTGGTGCAGGAGCTGAGGGTCCTGCACTGGCAGGGCTGGAGCTGGAGTACTGGGCTGGCTGTTGCTGATGCTGGGAGTGCTGGTGTGGGCACTGCGGTCACTGCTGGGCCCTGCCACGGGACTATAGTTCCTCTGATTGTGTGTGGGCCGGGAATCAGGGCTGGTTGGAGAGGAATTCTGAGGAATATTTGCTGACACAGCTGAAACTACTGCAGGTGCAGCAGGCTGCTGTATCATGAAAGGCTTTTCGTCTTGACAGGAAACGACGTCAGGAGAGGCTGGATTTTGGTTTTCAGGTGGCAAACTGGACAACTGTCCTGCTAACGTGGAGAGCTGGTTTAAAGGATTATCCACCATGAGGTCTTGTGGATCTCTTGGCAAGCCACCGCTCGGAGTGGTTTTTGTCATGCTCTCGTACGCCTCAGTCTGGATATTGGGGATTTCATGGGTGAAATCATTAAGGTAGTCTGGCTTCTGCACCACCATGGAAGGCGGACTCAGATTAATTAATGCTCTTCTGCTGTACCCCAAATTGCTGGTCTTCTTCTGCAGAACCCCCCACATCTTCTTGCTGCTCAGGGAAGACCTCGTGCCCTTGATGGGCACCATCTTGTGCTTGCGCCGGCGGTGGTGGGACAGGT